GCGTAGCACGCGCCACCCTGCACTCAACAGCCTCCGCCTCCAAGACAACACCTAGCATTCAACAGCCCCCAGGGCTCCCGGGACTGCCCGGGCCCGTCCCAAACACGCCACGACACGCCAAGAGGGCCCTAAGTATTGCCAAGACAGCCGCAAGAGGCCCCTGACACGCCGAAGATGGCCTCAGGACGGCCGATGACGCCGCCAAAACGCCCCAAGGCCCCTCCAAAGGGCCCCGCATTTTTACGCTCTCGCATGTTCCGCCTCCCCATGGTCCTGGACGGCGTCAGAGGCCCTTCAGATCGCTCCAAGACGGCCGAAGAGGCTCCCAAGAGAGGCCAGAGACGGCCCAGGAGGCTCCCCAGATAATTCAAGAGGGCCTCGAGAACGCCCCAAGACAGCCACAAGAGCGACCCAAGATGGCCCGAAGAGCGCGACATTTCAAGGTATCCGGCCTGAGAGGCTCCTAGGACGCCCCCGGAGGCCATCAAGAGGCGCCCAAGAAGCCCCGTGAGGCTCCCAAGAGGCCCCCTGGAAGCCCCAATAAGCCCCCAAGGGGCCCCCAGGGAAGCCCCTTGCGGGCCCCCAAGAGACCTTGGCAAATCGTATTTCCCAGAGCTTTCCGGGAACATGATTTCTTGGGCTTCCGCCCACCGCCCCAACCATGTTTCCAATAGGCTTGCCGACAAGGCCAAAAAGGGCCCCTCGGTAAGCCCCCAGAGCCCCCCCTCTAAAGAGAGCCGAACAAATCATGCTCCCGGAAAGCTTCCCGGGCACATGATTCTCGGGTTGCCGCCCTATCCCCAAACCATGTTCCCTAAACGCCTGCCAGGATAAAAAACGAGAGTCCCAAGCAGCGCTACCTGCCGCCACGCTCGGAAACGCGTCAGGCCCCGAATCCTCTGGAGGCGCCCAACGACACCCCAACAAATCATGTTCCCGGGAAGTCTTACGGCCAGTGCCGCCGACGTTGAAGGAGGACGGTCCAGGACACCCAGAAATCTTCCAAACAGGCTTCCAAGAGGGCGCCGAGACAGCCCGGGGCCGCCCCCAGACGGCCCAAGAAAGCCCCAACACAGACGAAAAGGGCAGCAAGAGGCCCCGAAACGAGGACATATCGTTCGAACATGCCCACGATGGCTTCCGGAGGGCCCACAAGGCTTCCAACACGGCCCAAAGGGACGCCTAAATCATTGATTGTCCTTAGGTTTTTGATGGATTTCAGACATCTAATGTCGCCCCAACAGGCGCCCACGAGGGCGCCGAGACGGCCCACGGACGCCCTGCCGCGGGCACGAGGTGGGGCCCAGGACGGCCCTCGCACCAAGGGGCCTGGGGGCCCTGCCGTGGCGCTGGGGGCCTTGTAAAGTCGTTCGAAGACGGCCCTGGATTGCCAGAAATGGCGTTTCCAGGCAACGAAAACGACCAATGACCGCCCGAGATCACCCCAGAATTGGTCCCTGACTGTCCAAGAGGCCTCCAAGACGCCCCAAGAGGTCTTCGAGATGGCTCCCAAGGAGCCCCAGGAGGCACAACTATATAATCTGTTTTCCTTTGGTTTTTGATCGATTTTCGAGTTCTCGCCTTGTGAGTTTCCCGACGCTCCACGACTGCCCAAGAGGCTTCAATTTCCGCTCCAAGGCATCCCCAGAGGCCTCGAAGATGGTCACAAGACAGCTCACGGGGGTCCCAAGACGGCGCCAGAGGCGCCCAAGGCGGCCCCAGAGGGTCCCAAGACGGCCCCGAGATGGAGCCAAGAGGGTTGACACGAACCGAAAATCCGAGTCTTCCACCCCGAGAGGCTCTCAGGAGGCCACGAGAAGCCCCTAACAGGCTCCAAGAGGCCCCAAGAAGCCCCCCAGGGGGCCGAAGAGTATCCAAGAGGCCTCCCACGAAGGCCCTAAGAGGCAAACATCCATGTCTTGCCATAGATTTTTGATTGATGTTTGAGTTTTCAGCCTTTTGGCGTCCTGACGCTCCAAGATGGCCCAAAAGGCCTCCAAGACCAATCCAAGATAGCCCAAGAGGCTTCCAACAGGGCCCAAGACAGCCCGAGAGGGCACCAATACGGCCCCAAGGGGGGCTCAAGAAGGGTAAGACGAACCGAAAATCCGAACCTTCCACCCCGAGAGGCTCTCAGGAAGCCCCAGAGGCCCCCAAATGGGACCCAAGAGGCCCTCAAGAAGCTCCCCAGGGGGCCGAAGAGGTTCCAAAAGCATTGTTTTCCCATCGGCTTTTGATGGATTTTAGAGTTCCCAGCCTTTGGCATCCCAACGCTCCAAGACAGCCCAAGTGGCCCCCAAGACCGCTCCAAGATAGCCGAAGAGGCCTCCAAGAGGACCCCAAGACGGCCCACGAGGGCCCCAAGACGGTGCCCGAGGCGCCCAAGACGGCCCACGAGGGCCCTAAGAGAGCCCCAAGAAGGGGAACGCGAACCCAACAGCAGAGCTTTCCTCCCTAAGAGGCCCACAGGAGGCCCCAAGAGTCCCCAAGTGGTCCGACGAGGCCCCCCAAAGCCCCCCACCAGGCCCCAAAAGGCTCACAGGAGACGTATACGGGGCCCCAAGATAGCCAAACATCAAAATTGCTTCAAGGAGGCCCCAGGAGGCTTCCGGATTGCCCAAATGTGGCCTCAAGCGGGGTCTCCACGCAGCCAAGACGGCCAACTGACTACTTCAGACTGCAGAACATCACTTTCCGACTGCCCAGAGAACCCTGACGATGCCCCCAAGGGACCCCAAGAAGCCCCAAGATGCCCCCCCGAGAAGCACCCAAGAGGTGCCTCCAACAGCCAATTGAGGAAGCACGGAGAACCCTCCAGAAGCCCTTCAGATGCCCCCACGAAGACCCAAGAGGTTCCCAAGTGGCCCTCAGGAGGCACGACTATGTCACGCGCCTGTGCTTGATAGCGCTGTCCAAGATCTTCTAGCGCGCCCCCGGCTTGGGCTAGAACCTGAGCGCGCGCGAAGCGCGCGCGATGGTTCTAGTATATATATATATATATGTATGTATATATATATATATATCGTGTAATATAGGTTGTGCGAAATCTGTGGTGTAAGCTGCGTGGTGCAGTGCACCACGCGCTTGTAACGCTATGCCACGTGATTGCAGTGCAGTGCGATTGCAATGCAACGGTGTGGGGGGGTGCAGCGGGGGGGTGCAACGAGGGGGCGTGCAAAATGGCGGCGCCGTTTGGTCACGATTTTGACTGCGCGAGCCTTTCACAATCAAAATTGTGCCCAAACTGGGGCGGCGGCGGCGACGGGTGGCGCCAAGCCGGTCGAGGCGGCGGCCTGGCCCAGTTCCGGAAAGCGAAGAAAGAACCCTTGAGTGCAAGCACTGTTTGTGGAAATGGCGGGGGCCCCTTATGAGGGAAAAAGTGGGGGGCTAAAGCCTGGGAAGGAGCTCTCACAGCTGAGTATTTTTCGCCCCTCGGCCCTGCGGCCGGGCGGATTCAAGACGCTTCGCGTTCACCGCCCGCCCTTTCCAGTTCTCGCTGGGTCTGTCGCAGCTGGGCTAAAACAATATTCAGACGGTTTTAGATTTTCCGTGCGCGGCCCAAGGGGGCTTTCAGATGAGCGAAGCGAGGGGCTGAACACGGCCGAGAAGTCGCTCCATCCCATCCCCGAGTGGTCTCAGGTATGCCGCGTGTCGGCGGACTCGTCGCCCCCGTTGCGAGGGTTAGGGATGCTGGCAATGGTCTGTTTCGCTGCGAGTATTCCGCTGGGCGAACACCCGCCTAAAATAGACCCAAATTGTTTGAAGACAGGCCGTAAGAGGCCGACAAGGGCCCACGAGGGCACCGAAAAGGGTCCAGAAAGGGGCGAAGATGGGCCGAGGCGGCCCGGCGGGCTTTTGGACGGCCCAGGCGCGAGCACGCCCGCGATGGGCCGCGGCCCCGTCCTATCTTCTATTGAAAACGGGCCGGTGTCTGGGCCTGTTTGGGCTTCGTTTTGGGTTCGAATTTGGATCCAGAGTTGTCGAAAATTGTCCCCGGAGCTCGTGCAAAAACGGCGGCGAAAGTTTGGCGCCGAAGGAAGCTCCAGAGGAGCTCGAAAGCGACCTAGACGAGGCGTCTGGGCGACCCCTGGGGGCTAAAATCACAAACAAACTATAGTTTTTGATGTATTTTTGAAGGTGCTAGGCTGTTGACGAAGTTGGGCCCATGAGGCGCTCAGGAGGGGTGCACGTCCGGACCCTCAGCCCGGTGGGTGGGCGGATTCAAGAGGCTGACGCCGTCCCGCCGACCCGCAGAAGGGGATAGGTGTGGCTTCTGATTCCGTATGTGCTGTTTGCCGCTCCCCGTCGTGCTGCCCGCGTGCAGTTGTTGTTGATGCGTTCTCCTATTCCTCCGCGTCTGGTGCGGGGCTTCTTGGGGGCCTCTTGGAGGCCCAGGGGGCCCGCCTTCTCGAGCATTTTCGCGAGGCCTGGGGGCTTTCTGGGGCCCTTTGAGGGCCTCTTGTGGGCGCGTTCGGGGTCATGGGGGCCATCTGGCGGGGCGGGGCTCCCGAGGTCTCTGCGAGTCTTCCCGTCTGGGGCCTCTCTTTGCGCCGTCTTTGGTCCCTCTTGGAAGGCTTGTTTGGCCGTCTTGGACTCCCCTTGGGCCGTCTTGGACTTCTCTTGGGCCGTCTTAGGGCCCTCTTGGGCCGTCTGGGTCCACTTGGGAGCCTCCTGGGACGTCTTGGGCTGGTCTGCGGGGGACCGACAAACAAAAAACAAGAAAGAGAAAGCCATTTAGATACCGGGGAGCTCTCTTGGGGTTTCTTGGAGTCTGTGCGTGTCGCTGCCCCTCTTGAGCTGTCTTGGAAAGCATTTTGGGCATCTTGGTGGCGACGGAGGTTGGATGGTGAGGCTCCAGAGGCCTCGGGGTGCGCCAGGGAGCCCAGTAGTACCCGGTACCCCCCCTCCTGAGTCGAGATTTTGGACCCTGTGGGAGGGGGAGCGGGGGAGGGGGACAGCCACACATCTCGCAAGCCATGTCACCCCAGCGGGGGTCGAAGGCTACTTACATATTATCCTGACTTCAGGATGCCTAGCGTAAGCTATCTCGCAGCATTGGCCCTCGCCATTGGCGACGCCAGGGGTGTGCAGCTGGACGCCAGCGGCTCCGACGGGACGTCGTGGGTCGAGAAGACCGTGGCGGCGACGCCGACCCCCACGTGCATACTGACTGGGCCGAACCCGTGGCCTTCGGACTGCACGTGCGCGAGCTGGGCCCAAGGATTGGCGGCGCGCCAGAGGGGTGGGGCGAGGGAGGTGGCCTCCTCGAGAATCGAAGGAGGAGCAATGCTGGAGAATCGAAGGAGGAGCAACTGTCGAGAATCAAGAGCGGAGCAACCGCCTAAGCACAAGTTCTCGCAGCTCCTCGCGGATTTCTGGCATTGGTGCTGGGTTCCTCTCCCTGTCGCGCCGAGCGCGCCAGGGAGGGGGTCCCAGCGCCGATCCAAGAAATCCGCGCGGCGCTCTGAAGGTGTATGTTTGCGCCGTCGTTGCAGTCGTTACCTTCGCTCCCTCCGCCTCTCTTCAGAGCTGATGTGCGCGTGCCGTTGCAGGCGTTTGGCTCAATGCATGGACTCGGGGATGCTTCCAGTTGATGAGGGGAGTCTCCTAGTCAATACAAGCAAGGATCGGAAGTATCCGCCATCTCCCGACCAACGCCAGGGGAGCCTGGTAAGAATCGTGCCAGACCAGAGGTGGAAGTCGTTACATTGCGGAAGGTGGGGCCATGTCGTCAGCAGACGGGAAACCCAATTGCCCATCATGTTGAGACCTGAGATGCGGTTTTCGAGGTCGTCGAGGTTGATTCCGATGATCCTGAGGTTGAGCCGGCGGGCCACGGTGCTTTCGGCACCTGTCTCGTCGGCTTTGCCGCAGAAGGCGAGGATGACACGCACATGTCCCAGTGCCATCGGCTCAGGGCCGACATGAAACGACTCCCGACGCAGCCGACAGCGTCATGCCTGACCTTCCCAAGCGCGAGGAATACGTTCCAAGCGCAGGTGCGGGAGACGACAATTCAATGTCGAGTTCTTATTGTTCGAGAAGGATGAGGGAAGTAGCTCCATAGTTCGACGACCCCGCCGGAGCGTAGATAATTCGGCCTGTCCCGTCACGATCGCCTCGGCCCGAGGTTGTCACGATGGATGTTTAACAGGATGCGCCCATCGGATCTCCAAGCCAAAGCGCGGGTCACGGTGGCTTTGCCGTCGATCCCGTGCAACCTTCGAGAACCTTCCAGGCATGACGCGGGTCATGGTGGCTTTGCCGTCGGTCGCGTGTCGCTTTCAGTCAACATCGCGCGCTTGGGCAGATCAAGGACAGCGGGGTATCCAAGTGATTCGATATCAGTCATGCCCTCACCCTCCGTACGGTCAGACAAGTCTGACCGGGAGTTGTCGCGCATTTCGGTGCGAAAGGAAAAGAGAAGGCCGAGGAGTGACATACGTTCCTCAGTGCGGGGAAGGACCAAGAGGATGGCGTCCGTTGCCAGGTCTGGTGTGTCACCCATAAGTCGGATGTCCGTCGGAGAATGATGCTGGAACCTTGCAGTCAGCTGTCCCGACTGCGCTGAACGCCGCTACCTGGGCACATCTGGTAATTGTAAGTGGCCGGTGTACGCCAGAGACAAGCCGTATGGGAAGGTGCTCAACAGCAGGGGGCAGCCATCGCCGTGGCTCAGATACCGGAGCGAGTTGAAGGACAGATCCGTTCGATGAGTTGTATTAATAACGAAGTGAAGAGAACCAGGTAAGCGCTGAACTGAAGGCTGTCGAAGATCGAACCAAGGTCGCAGGAGCTCGCGAGGTGGAGGCCCGCTTGAGCGATGTGCGCCGCCTGAGGGTCGTAGAAATCGGGCGTGGCGCTCTGCTGGGCTGCTGGGGTCGCCGACCAGATGCGTCGCGTTCGACAGGGTGCCTCTGCGCAATGAGCTCCCGAGGGCTGACGGGTGGCATTTGGGGCCAGAAAGCAGTGACACGTCGGAGGCGTCCGCAAATTACACTCGGCCGCTGACGTGCCCCTTGCGTTGTGGTCTCGTAGCAGGCCAAGCGCCGCGCTCCCCCCCGGCGTGCAATGCCGTCCCTGGCGGCGGCGCCCCGGGGGCCAGAGGGTCAGCCAGGGCGTCCGCTGTCTGGGGGGAAGACGTTCTTGCGGTCGGCGCGATCGCTCCTCTCTGGAGGGGGCTGGTCAGTAAGGGTGGGTCGTCGCCAGCTGGCCTGAGCGGGGCATCCGTCGGGATGGCGTTCCCAGGTGCCCCGGGCCCTCCAGGCCGAGCTACAGACGCAGTCAAGGAGCGCGAGTCGAGACAGCGGCTGAGTGACGACGAGAACGATGGATGTTGGGCCACGAAGGGCCGCGAGGAGTTTTATTTGATCCTTGCGAGCGACGCTTGGTCTCCAGGTTCCCCTCCCCCGAACTTCGCTGCGAGGGGTTCCTGTGCCGCCCCCCCCCCAAGCGCGTCGAGTTCGTCGGTCGCGCGCGGGGAATGCGTCTTCCGGCGCGGCGGCAGATCTCAGAGGACACATTCCCATGGGAAATATTCTATGGGTCTCGATGCTAGTGGCGCGCAGTCTATCCCCCCGGCGCTGGATTGGCGACCTGGGCCCGTGGTTTTGATTTCCTGCGCCCGGCTGGGGCTCGGCGACTGTGATTGGCGGGCCAGCAGTGGCCGCGAGAGATGCCGAATGCCGAAGACGTGTTGGCTGTTGTTCAAAGGGGGTGCCAGAATGACGCCCTGGGCCCGAGTAAGTGCGCGGTGTTCGGGGAAGCGGCCGCGCGCGGACCGACGATGACATCGCGCGCGCGAGACGAAGGAAATATTTGAATCATCGCAACGTCGCGGCGGATCACCGGAAGGCGCATAGGGCGACCGGGGGATTGGTCTGCGGGCGCCCCATGGATTGGCCCGAGCCGGATCGCGAGCTTCCCGCCAGTCAGTGGCGCGAAGGACATCAGGGGCGCGCGGGCGCACGCCTCTGCGCCGCAAACATCGCAGGGGCCGTGCGCTTCGATCCCACGGGGGATTACATCGCGAATCGATTGGCGGGGCAGCGCGCCGCCCGCCGCTGCAGAACGCGAGTTGAACCCATCGTTGATGGGGCGACCTTGTTGAGTGGAATCGATATTGTTATCCGGGTTATTTCAAAGGCCGAGATTCGAGGGCCCGAATGGTGCATCCATCTCCCCTCAATGCGGGCGCCGAGTTTCACGGGCGTGAAGTTGTGCAAGGATCGGCGCGCTTCCTTCGTGGGGCCAGCGTCAGGATGGCCCTCCTGGGGGCTGGGTGCCTCCTGGAGTCAAAATGGGCTGCCGCCGAATTTGATTGGGCGAGTGCAGGGCAAGGGTGCATCGGAGTCCGCGTCCTGGAGTGGCGGGACTTGGAGTCGCGCGAGCACGAGACTTATTCGGGATGTATCGCGCTGTTCGGTGACGCATTTCAGCTGCGCTGCGGTCGTCGTCATTGCTTCGAGGGGGTCTGACTTCCATGGTGGCCCGCTGATTCGGGGTTGCTCCGAACGGGGTGGCTTCGCCTGTGAGACAGTGGTCGGCCCATGCGCAGCTGCTGCCCCGAAGGGCCTGAGGTTCACTTTTCGAACTGAGCAGCAGGTTTGAAGCGACGACGCGAAAGTCATTGCATCGGCGTGCCAGAATGGTATGATAGAGTCAGACGTTGAGCTCATGCCCCGCGGCAAGTAGGCCAAACTCCTGAGCGCCGAGCGGGCTTGGAACAGGATGAGGGCAGTTTCCAGTGCGGGCCCTACCTTCAGTATTGATCGTAGGAAGCGGGGGCCACGCCGTGATCCAGCAAGTGTAATGTGCCCGAGTGACGTCGCGACCGGGAATGCGGGCGGGGCGACGGGGAGCGTAATATTCGGTTGCCAAGTCCCTCAACTCCTGGATTGCTCGGATGCCTCAGGCGCGGAAGGAGATGAATCCGTGGGGGTAGCCACCCAGGGTGGTTGGGGCATATGTGTGCGAAGTGGACTTTTCGCGTTGCAGGTTGCGACTGTGGGGCCGAATGTCGGCGCCGCCGATCGCGGTTCCACTGGGGTTGCTTCGGCCGCCAGCGCGGGAGAGGCGCTGCCGGGGCCATTGGTGGCGACCCCGTTGATGCTAGCGCTGCTGGAGCGGGGGTACCCCTTCTCTGGCGGAACTAGATGCGAGTGTGGTAGATCACTCATAGGAAATTGTTCTGGTCGCGCCGTGGATGGATATGCTTCCCTCGGCGGCGTGGATGCCAGAGTTAGTGTGCGCCCTGTGATCTCTGAGCCTTCCATATTGATGCGGATCAAGGACAGATCTGTGGATGCCCCAGTACGGATCGGGCAACTTGGGCAGGGGGCGCACGATTCCGAAGCGGAAATGAGGGTCGCAGAGGCCAGGGGGCAAGGCGCTCTGGACCATCGCGACTGCTTCCGTGACGTCGGACATGCTGAAGAGGTTTTTTCGTGGACCAAGCAGGAAGGAATAAACGCGCATATATATACACATATGCATATACATATATGTTCACATATATACATACATATATACATATACATATACATATATATAATACTAATAATAAAAAACTCTCTCTCTATGCTCTCTCTCTATATATATACACATAACGGGGGGCTGTGTCTGGGGGCCGGGGGCTGGGGCCCCGGCCGCAAATGTGGGGCTCGGGGCCCGGGCCCGCCTCTGGGAGGTTTAAATCGCCACGGGGGCCTTCAGACAGCGATCCCAGCGGCCCCAGGCGGTCTCGAGACGCCCCCGAGACGACGTCCAGGGGTCTCCGTCGACGCGCGATGCGTTTAGATTGTCCCGGAGGCCCCCAAGAAGCCCCAAGAGGCTTTCAAGGCGCCGCCGAAGAGCGCCCCGAGAGGGGCAAAATCCTTGATTTTCATTTTTTAGATTAAGATGTGTTTTTGCATTCTCGCTGTCTCGCGTTTCCGGCGCTAAAGCGCCGCCCGAGAGGCTCCCCAAACCGCTCCAAGACGGCCCAAGAGGCCCCCAAGGGGGCCCCAAGACGGCCCGAGAGAGCCCCGAAACGGCACCAGGGCCGCCCAAGACGGCGCAAGAGGGTCCCAAGAAGGCCCCAAGAGGGGCCCAAGAGAGGGAGCGCGAACTGAAAACTCAAGCTCTCCGCCCCGAGATGCCCCCCAGAGGCCTCAAGATGCCCCCAGGGAGCCCCCAAGAGGCCCCAAGAGGCCCCCAAGAGGCCTCAAGAGGCCACCCAAA